CTGTACGTCAGAGGAAGAGGCTCGGCCCGTGTGTGTGTGTGTGTGTGTGGTGGTAAAGCGTGTCGTGTCAGATATTCCACAGCCGTAACAGGCACAGACGTGTGTCGGGGATTTCTGTACGCTGCACGTCTCTCCTCATGTTCCTCGACAGAGATGGATGTCTATCACACGACTCTGCTGTACTGTGTGTTTGCTGGCCGTTTCTACTCACAGGTAGGACTGTCTGATGCTCATAGTTTAGAATTTGGCTTCAGATTGATGTCTGTTTACACTACTGATCAAACGTTTGTTGAAAAAAAACTTGTTTTATTCAGCAAGGAGACATTAAATTGATTAAAAGTGACAGTATAGACATTCATAACATTACAGAAGATTTCTATTTCAAGTAAAAGCTGTTCTTTTGAACTTTCTGTTCATCAAAGAATCCAGAAAAATAAAATGTATCACAGTTTCCTCAAAACTATGAAGCAGCACAACTGTTTTCAACATTGATGATAATCAGAAATGTTTCTTTATTGAAACAGATGAGTTTAATTAAAATAAAACAGTTTTATCCACTATTTTAATGTGCTATTTATTTTTATGCATATTAGGGTTATGATTCAATGTTCATGTTAAATTCAAACTCTACTAAACCCAGTTGCAAGTCGCAACTCATGTGGTTCTAATTAGTGCTAATTAATGCTTTTATTTTTATTTATTTATTTATTTTGCTGCATGTTGTATGTAGAGTGTTGTCGTTCGCTCAGAATGTTCTGTTCCAGTCAGGATGCTGCATATGTAGACCGTATACAGCAAGGAAGATCACTAGGTTATGAAGCAGAGCTTGTAAGTCTCTTTGTCCTACATGAGCTTCAGTATTTGTTCTGTAAATGGTCATGGGGTGTGTCCTGTCTTAAGCCACGCCCCCACACACCTGGACGGCAGGTGGGCGTGAGGAATATGATGAGACATCAGTGAAGTGCAGGTAAACATGACTCACACATGGCTGTGGCTGGAGCAATGAGACCTTACTGTACGTCAGAGGAAGAGGCTCGGCCCGTGTGTGTGTGTGTGTGTGTGGTGGTAAAGCGTGTCGTGTCAGATATTCCACAGCCGTAACAGGCACAGACGTGTGTCGGGGATTTCTGTACGCTGCACGTCTCTCCTCATGTTCCTCGACAGAGATGGATGTCTATCACACGACTCTGCTGTACTGTGTGTTTGCTGGCCGTTTCTACTCACAGGTAGGACTGTCTGATGCTCATAGTTTAGAATTTGGCTTCAGATTGATGTCTGTTTACACTACTGATCAAACGTTTGTTGAAAAAAAACTTGTTTTATTCAGCAAGGAGACATTAAATTGATTAAAAGTGACAGTATAGACATTCATAACATTACAGAAGATTTCTATTTCAAGTAAAAGCTGTTCTTTTGAACTTTCTGTTCATCAAAGAATCCAGAAAAATAAAATGTATCACAGTTTCCTCAAAACTATTCAGCAGCACAACTGTTTTCAACATTGATGATAATCAGAAATGTTTCTTGAGCAGCAAATCAGCATATTAGAATGATTTCTGAAGATCATGTGACACTGAAGACTGGAATACACTCTTAAAAATAAAGGTGCTTCACGATGCCATAGAAGAACCTTTTTGTCTAAATGGTTCCATGAAGAACCTTTAACATCTGAAGAACCTTTCTGTTTCACAAAAGGTTCTTTGGGGCGAAAGAAGGTTCTTCAGATTATAAAAAGGTAAGAGAGAGATGGTTCTTTTAAGAACCTTTGACTGAATGCTTCTTTGTGGAACCAAAAATGGTTCTTCTATGGTTTCGCTTGAAGAACCTTTTGAAGCACCTTTATTTTTAAGAGTGTAATGATGCTGGAAATTCAGCTTTGATCACAGAAATAAATTAAATTTTAACGTATATTCACATAGAAAACAGCTATTTTAAATCACAATAATATTTCACAATTGTATTGTTTTTACTGTATTTTTGATCAAATAAATGGAGGCTTGGTGAGCAGAAGAGACTTCTTTCAAAAACATTTAAAAATGAAAACGTTTATAAAACATGAATCTGTTTTTTGAGTGGTGAACTTCAGGCTAACAGGTGATGTGAGTCTGATCTGTTTGAAAGTTTTGATTCCTGTAAGCAGTGATCCATGGCTCTCAACATGAGCTCACTACAGCACACTGAACTTGTAGTAAGAGTTTCGTAAGTTACTTTGGCATCTAAAAGCGTTGTGATTGACTTCTGACTCTCTGAATGTTTTGATTGTGTGATGTTTTGGTGTTTGTTGTTTGTACGAGGCACAGACTGTGGTGTGTTTGGATAGTGTCAGTGTCGGTGGCTCTGTGTGTGTGTGTGTGTGTGTGTGTGAGTGAGTGTGTGTGTCT